ACTTCACCTACCGCCTACTGGTGTTGGCCAGAGGGGCCGATGGCGCGATATGGCAGCCTCGCTTCTGTCAGTCTGCCCCAGGGCAGCAGTGGCTACACCTGTAGCTGCCTCCACCAGTGTGTGAATGTGAGAGTGAATAAATAGTGGTATTGTAAAGCACTTTGGGTGCCTTGGAAAGCGCTATATAAATGCAATCTATTATTATTATTATTATTATTATTATTATTATGGTGTTAAAGTCATTTTAATGAGATTAACGCTGACAGCACTACTAGAAACATGAAAGCTAGGGAACTAAACTGGGATTGAGAACTAGGAAAATACTATGAGTAGGGAGGAAACACACAAAGCACTGAGGAGGTTTGATGGTTAACAACGTGACGCCAAACAGGGCAAGACTGAGGACTAAAATACACAGGCAGGAAACAGGTGCACAACTTGTGGGAATGTTTTCAAGTATTGTGGAAAATGTTAGAAAAAACTGAATGCACAAGTTGATGATGGTATCGGCTGCTGAATCACAGCCTTTGTTTCTGCAGAGCGCCGAGGATGAATCGAAGTGGGTCGAAGACATGCTGAAGCTCCACACAGCCCGAGTACGAGATGTGGAGATCCTTACGGGCCTGGACCTCTACAGATCCACAAACCTCACATACACCAACACCCTAATTCTCAAAACCTACCTGGAGACCTTTGAGAGGGACGAGTAGGAGCCAGAGACAGAGATGATCATATAGGATGTAACCCTTTGTCAAATGTCTGCATTTTTATTGCATGCTCTTTGGAAAGACGACATAATGCTGTTCCACTGCTGAAGAACCGCCCAAGAAGCGCTTGGAAAGGGAACACATATTTGAAAATTACAAGAATGGTTTGTTATGACAGGAATATTCAACCCTAGCTATGGAATCTGTTTAGGAATAAGCTATCACAGGAAAGATGCATTCTAACGCACACATCAAGAACCACACCAGTATTTTATGTCTGTGCCTGAAAGTGATTTCTCCTTCACATCTCTACTGGCATAAGCACTGCATGCTATGAGATTTAATATTTAAAGTTAAATGTGTTTAGTCATTTAGAAAAATCCATTCTTGATAGTCTTCGATCATGGAAGTTTTCATTGCAAACTGTAAGAAAATAACACGCAAATAAGATCAAAGTGGTTAAAAAATGACATGAAAAATGAGAACATATCAACCAGGCTTTCTTTCTTCAATCTTGTAGTTTGACCTGTTCACAGCAGCCAGTATAACAGGTGAAATCACAAACTTTTATTTCAACATACCCCCAAATTAGTCACTGAGTCTGTAAACTCATCAAAAGGTTGATCAAACTTCTACAGCCTTCAGCTTTAGGGCACGTCTGCACTGGCTTAACTTTACTTCCCTGTTTCATACTGCCTGTGCCACTAATATAAGACTATGATTATGGGCAGAGTTTTCCCAAATGGAAAAAAAGTGAACACATATTTGTTCTGAAAATGTAGCACTTCTTTTTTACAAAACCCAACTTTATCCGTTTGTCCCTAAACCACTTGATGGTGACCTAGCAGATGTTAAGAGTTTAAAGGCTAAAATGTGCAAATTTGCTGGTGTTTAGTTTTTGATTCCATGATGATTTAACCAACACTTGTGTGACAGTGAATCCAACAGGCCTAACCTACCATAGTCCTGCACCTACAGTGAAAAACTGTCGTTGTGATTTCATAAGCACCTGCTTGTTATCTCTTCAGCTAACTCTGTCAAAAGGTGTGAATTTTTCTACAATTTATCATATTTATAATAACTTTGGCACTCGTCCATCCTGCTAGCCATCGCTTCTCCGATTCTGTTCAGTGTTGGGCAGCTGAAGCTGAAACCGAGCAATCATTGGGTGAAAGGTGGGGTACACCCTATATAGGTTTCCAATCCTCCGCAGCGCTTACATCTGAGACATGCATTCACATTCACACCTTTGGGAGGAAACCGGAGTACGTGCAGGAAGCCCATGCCAGCACAAGGACAGCACGCCAATTCCAGGCTTGTTTTCTTGCTTTTCCCGTTCTAACAATGTACTCACAATCACAACAAAGGCGTGTGGTTTGGAGCATGTCCAGTTTAAAAACAAGAACTCTCATAACTCTAATGCATTCATCTCAGTCCAATTGATTACTATTTTGCAAACTGAATGCAGACATTAGGTGTGCAAAGAGGCTGTTGTAAAACCACGTTTCTCTGCAGCACAGTGTAGTATAGCCGAGATACTGAAAACACAAATTAAAATGAATATCGTTTGACCTTCACTTTGATTTTGAACCAACTGAGTTACAACATGATAGCTTAAAATGAGACCTAACCTAGAAAACATGGAAGTGTCCTTTAGTTCTGTTTAAAGAGGCGACACTGATGTCATCTGTCTGACGTTATCTGTTTATCCAAATTCAACTTTGCTTCCGCACCTTTATTTCTACACCGATAAGTCAGAACCTGCATTTTTTTTCACGTTTGGCACTTTGTAACATTAGCCCATTGTTACCATACCTAACTACTCGTGACTGCGTAGCCATAGTCATGGTAATAAGTAAAAGGATCAATAAAAAGTCAGTTAATAGACCTGTCAAGATGTGTATGAAGCCATGTTTATTCTTGTAGTCTTTCAAATAAAATCTGTAGAGTAGTGGAAACATTCACCGAGTTGTTTTTTATTGTGTT